CCCCCTCCTCACGTCCCCGGATCCCCCCGACTGCGTCCCAATTCTCTTCTGTGTCCCCCCCGTCCCCTCCCTGTGTCCCCTCTCATGTCCCATCTGCCCCCCATCTCCTGTTGTCCCCTCTTTGTCCTGTGTCCCCACACCCATGTCCTCCTCCCTGCCCCGTGTCCCTGGACCTCCCCCGTGTCCCCCCCGTCCCCTGCTGCCGTCACCAGCAGCTTTCCTGGAAAGGGCTTGGAGGGGAAGGGGCCCCGGTGGCCCCACAGGTGACCCAGGGGACAAAAAGTTTTTGTCCCCGGTGCCGCCCAGGTGCCCTTTGGCCATGTGTCCCCAAACAGTGCCGGAGCTGGCCCCCTGCCCGGCCCCATGGCAGGGGGTCCCCAGGGGCGTCCCCCCCCACCCCCAGCCATGGGGGCCCCCCTCCGGGACCCTGCGCTGAGTCATGGCGTCACGTTGGCGGCCGAGGGTCAGTGATAAGGCGGACAACGACCTTCGTCCCGCGGCAGCCGGTGGCGGCTGGGGCTGACCAGCGTGTGCAGCCCCACGGGGTGGCCCCCACCAAGCTGGGACCCTGGGCTGGGGTAGCCACGGGGACCGCAGGCTGGGGCAGAGGGGCTGGTGGGGACACGGGGGGGCATTGGGGTGCCCTGAGGTCCTGCTGTGCTGTGGGGTTACAGCTGCAACAGGCCACAGGGCCACCGCGTGCCGTGGGGCTCCAAGCTGCCACGGGGCAACGGTGTGCCCCAGGGTACCTACGAGCCATGGGGCCACCAGCCAACCCCCACTGCGGTAGCCCCAACACCCAGGTGTCCCCCACAGCCCAAACCCCTGGGCCACTGTCACCCACAGCCTGGGGCCACAGGGTGTTGGGGACACAGGGGACAGGACCATGGGGTGAGGGGCCACCCCCATCGAGGCTGAGGAGGGGCTGTCCCCCGCAGCGACCCTTACCCCCGCCGTGTTTACCCAGGTGGGGGCCGACACGGCCCCTCCAGCCCAGGGGCGGGAGCGGGCCCGGGGGATATAAGCAGCCCCCGAGGGGACACCCACAGCCCTGCACCCCCAGAGTCCTGCCCAGGTGAGCGGCAGCCGGTGCCCAGCGCCTGGGCAAGATGGAGCCATGGAGCAGGACGGGGCTGTGGGGAAAGATGGGGCTGTGGGGCAGGGAGAGGGACAGGGCAGGATGGGGCCGTGGGGAAAGATGGGGCAGGATGGGGCTGTGGGGCAGGGATGGGGCCGGAAGGGGCCAAGGGGCGGGGATGGGGCTGTGGAGCAGGATGGGGCTGTAGGGAAAGATAGGGCCATGGGGAAAGATGGGGCTGGAGGGGGTCGTGGGGCAGGACGGGGGCCATGGGGCAGGACGGGATGGAGATTGAGGTTCATGGGGTGGGATGGAGCAGGATGGGGTTGTGGGGCAGGGACGGAGCATGACGGGGACACTGGGGCAGCAATAGGGCAGGGATGGTGGGGAGGAGGGGCGAGAGGGGCCAGCAGAGCTGTAGGTCGGGCTACTGACCTGTCCCCACAGCCCTTAGTCCTGCCGAGATGAAGGTGCTGGTGGCCGCCCTGGTGCTGCTCTGCGCCGGCAGCCTGCAGGCCGCCATGGTGCGGCGCGAGGCCGAGGAGGCCGCCCCCGAGCCGCCCGTCGACGACTTCTTCACCCGCCACTTCCAGTCCTTCTCCGACTTTATGACCAAGGACCTGCCCCAGAAGCTGCAGGCACAGGAGCTGCGCAGCCAGGCCGAGTACGGGGCTGGGGGGGACACACAATGGGATTGGGGGGACGAGGGGGGTGCCCCTCGGCCACCCCCACCCCTCCTTCACTGGCCACTTCTCCCCCCAGGGCCTATCTGGACCGGGCCAACAAGCAGCTGACGCCGCTGGCCCAGGAGCTGAAGAGCAACATCGTCGGCCTCTTCTCCTCCCTGCTGGATTTCGGCAAGAGCGAGGGTCAGCCCTGAGCCCCGCCGGGGTGGCCTCCGCGGTCCCCCCCCCAGTCACAATAAAGCCCTGGAGCTGCCACCGTGTCCCTGGTGTTGTGGGGTCGGGAGTGGGTGTGGGGAACGGGGGACCCCCCCCCATCTCAGGGAGACGTGAGGGCGGCTGGGACCGGACAAACTCAGCTCTGCCAGCAGTAAAGATGGAGGCCCCGCGGCGGCGTCGCGCCCTTAGTAAAGATGGCGGCGCCCCCGCTCCGCCCCGCCCCTCGCGTCACGCCCCTAAGCAAGATGGCGGCGTGGGGCGAGGCACCTCCCCTAGCGTCACTTCCGCCCCCAGCCAAGATGGGCGGCTTCCGGCGGCGGGGCGATGGCGGATGAGGCGGCGCGGCGGGCGGTGGCGGAGCTGCCGCTGCTGCGGACGGCGGCGGGGCCGCGGGACCGGGAGGGGTGGGCGTCGCGGCTGAAGGAGGAGTACCGTGCCCTCATCCAGGTGCGCCCGCCCGCCCCGGCACCGGGCTCCCCGGATCGCTTCCCGCTCCTTTGCCGCTTCCCCTCCCGGTTCGTGCCACGCTTCACCCCCCGGTTTCCCGATCCCCCGCTTCAGCCGCCGGTTTCCCTCCTGTCCTGTTCTGCGGCTCCCAGTCCCCTTCCGGGTTCCCGGTGCCCCTCCCGCTTCGTCCCCGTTCCCCATTCCCCGGTTGACGGTCCCCTTCCCGGTTCGTCCCCCGGTTCCCGGTCCCCTTCCCGGTCGGTCCCCTGTTCCTGATCGCCCGCTTCACCCCCGATTCCCGGTCCCCCTCCTGGTTCATTCCCGATGTCCCGGTTCCCGGTCCCCCTCCCGGTTCGACCCCGTTCCCCATTTCCCAGTTGACAGTCCCCTTCCCGGTTCGTCCCCCGTTCCTAATCCCCCACTTCACCCCCGGTTCCCGGTCCCCTTCCCCGTTTGTCCCCCGGTTTGATCCCCGCTTTCCGCTCCCCTTCCCGCTTCATCCCCCGGTCTCTCCCCTCCCGGGTTTCCTCTCCCTCCGGTTCCCCCTCTGCCGGTCTCTCCCTCCCGCCTCGGTTCTCCCCACCCTTCCCGTTTACCCCCGCCGGTCCCGGCTCACTCCCGGTGTCCCCCCTCGCCCTGTCCTCCCCCCCAGTACGTGGAGAACAATAAACGCGCCGATAACGACTGGTTCCGACTGGAGTCCAACGCCGAGGGCACCCGGTGGGTGAGCGGGGCCGGGGGGACACACAGGGCCGGGGGAACACACGGGACCGGGTCTCCCCCCGTCCCGGGGCCTTTCCAGTGCCGGGGGGGGTTGCCCGGGACTGAGGGGAGGGGGGGCTGACCCCCACCATGCGCCGCAGGTGGTTCGGGAGGTGCTGGTACATCCATGAGCTGCTCAAGTACGAGTTTGGCATCGAGTTTGAGGTGAGGGGGGG